GTCAAATAATCGAGATCTCAATTTCAGTGAAAATAATCGTGATTATCATTTTTGCCATAATCGAGCAGCCCTACTTAAAAATACTGCTTACAAGTACTGCTGTGGTAGTTGTGATCGAACGCTGAGCAAAATTGTGAAAGAAATCTTACTTGCAGTTTGGTAAATTACAAAGATTACAAAGCATCATCTTTTTTCCCCCCAGAGTGAAGGAAGTTTACAGGCTGGAAGAAATGGAGAAAATCTTCGTCAGGTACGGGAAGAGAACCCTCTGAGTAGCTGCCGTGTATATTTACTACTGCAGCTTCTTAGATTTGTCCTATTTTTCAAGATCAAGGCTCCTTTTATGGCGCTTGTCAGAAAAACTTGTCATTTCTTTCCCCACCCAGACTAGAGATGAAAGTGACAAAGAGCTCAGGAGGTGTCCCGCGTCTGTCCTACACAGGCAGAGATGACAGACACTTCCTTCCCACGGGCCTCTACATCATCAAGACTGTCAATGGTCTGTATGTTGTGATTTGTTTTCACTGCGAGCGCAAACAATGCTGCGAGCAAAATGTCTTTATTTATTTATTAGTAAGTAAATAAATGCGGGATTTCTTTTCTCCTCCACCATTCAGAGCCGTGGACGATGGCGTACAGCAAAAACTCCAAGATGAAGTTCTTTTATAATAAAACAACCAAGGAGTCGACCTATGCAATGCCACCGAACTCTGCTGCTCCTTTCCAGTATGTAGCGTCCTCTTAATTTCTCTCTTTATTCCAGAGATTCACATCTGAAAAAGTTCATATGCTTTTTAAAATAAAAGTAATAAGTGAATGTAAATATTCTCATAAGTAGGGCTGTTCGATATAACGATATATATCGGATGACGATAAAAAAAGTCTATCGTTTCATTTTACACTATCGTTTGTTTTGTGGTGTCGCAAAATAAACTGTTTATGGCAATATTTTTTTTTTATTGTTTTGATGGTCACTGTCACTTGATGGTCTTAAAGTTCTCTCTTTGTCTTATATTTAGTAACCACATTTAGTAATAACCACACTACGGACGGACAAGCGACTGTTTTTATGCGTTGTCGTTAGCAACAATGATCGTGTGGCTCCGCCGTAAATCCTTTACAGTAAAGCTGAAGATCCTGTTGAGATTTTTCAAAATAAACTGAATCATGTGACAGATGAGCGGCCAAAAAGAGCCGTCAGGTGCTAAAAAATAAACCTTAGAACAGGCTTTTCCCCGAAGCACGCCGTGGAATAAACACTCACAAAGAAAATTGCAGCCGTTTCAACTTATGTAACACTCGACTCCAGGTACACGACGCCCAGCTGAAAACACTTCACGCAAGTCGAGTTGCCCGAGAGTCACAGAATTAGCTGAAAATGTAAACTTTTTGTGATATATATCGTTGTCGGGACGATAAATGTCTTCTATCGGGAAATTAGATTTTGGTCATATCGCACAGCCCTACTCATTAGCTCATATTTTATTCACAATAGAACACAGGAAACGTGTTAAACAGCATTTAAGCTGTTTCACTATTTCATGGAAAATATTGACCAATTCTTTTCCTTGCAGCGTATGCCACTCCGAGCGGCTCTTCTGGGCCTGGGTGGATGGGGTTATAGTTCATAAATCTCAGACCAGAGTGGACCCTGAGAAACTGTCCAAAGATGACGTGCTGTACTTCATACACCAGCATTACCAGCCCTGAAAGACTCCCAGTCACAGGGCTTCGTCAGCTGCAGACTGTACACAGAGTGCGCTGGGTTGTGAAGCCTTGGCAAAGAGTACAATCCAGTTCACTAATCGTCATTTCATTTAACAATCAAAGGACGGTTATTAAAAGGACTTGTGATTGTTTTTATGAATCCGTTGCTTACTATCTCGTTAAATATCAATAAACTGCTTTATGACCCTTTGGAAGGTACCTCCATGTTATCTTGGTATCAGGTTGGAGTTGTTTGCTGCTGTTTTTAGCAGTGGCATGTCCTCGTAAAACTGATGTTTGACAGACCAGTCTATTTTTCAGTCTTTTCCACTTCCTTTGACTCGACCTTTGATTTTGAATTGTAATGAGTAGCATTGCCTTATAGGACAACATGGAGACAAAGGTGTTTGCTGTGCCCTATAGATTCAGTTTCTCCAGTTCCTCCTCAATGCCACTCTTGTTTTTGTGCACACAGCATTAGCAGTGATAGATAGGGTCACAAGGTTAAACTGTGAATCCACATCTGTAATTATTCTTTCTTCTCACTGCTGGAAGCATGACTGGTCTTCTAAAGAAAACACACGGGTCTGTTTGCCTCATCTTTACACTAACAGTGTCGCGGTGCTTTCCCTTGCAAAACTGTGTAGCATGTAAATCACCCTTTAAGTCGTTCTCACAGTCATTTCAACGTGCATTCAGAGATGGAGCAGCTCTCTCCTTTCCACGCTTCTCTGTCATCTAGACTGTGGGAGTGAAGTTTGGAAGGTGTCCCCCTTTAGTTTTGAGGTTGTTTGTACCCCACCTGCTCTTTAAAATTGTGCCTCCATATCTTCTAGTTGTGTGTCTGGTTTTTGTTTTTGTTTTTTTTTAATGCTGCAAATGAGTTATTTTTCTGGTGTAAATTTAGCTTTCAATCTCTTTGATGTAAATATTAATAAGTAAATAAATGGGAGATGCTGTTCCCACAATGTTCAACTGCCTGGTGATATTGGGTGGAGACAGTAGTCGGAGTAAAGGCTGGATTAAGCTGTTAAAAGGCAACGGGTGTGCTCATACACCAACCAAATTACACAAGTGCACACAACATGTTGTAGCTTGGTTGTTTTGCTCACAGCTTTAGAAATGTGGTCAGACTGTGGGAATTTGTTATTGTAGATTCAGTAAAACCCAATTTGAGCTTTTGAATACTATTATATATATATATAATATATATAATATTTGAATACTAATCTGTTCACTCTGGAAGCATGAACCATTATGAATCTATTTCACCTGCTGTGTAAGTACAGGCATTAACAAGTGCAGGTCAACCCTCAAGGAAAAGCAGTGGTTTTGCAGGTGGTTGCCACAGAACTTGCCTTCTCCTGTTTTTCAGCAGAGTCTCAAGAGCTGCACAGTGCTGGTCTGTGAGCACTGGCCCCACTAAAGGATGACAGAAGCTCATGCTGGTCCTTGTTGAGTCTGTTTCTGATAGTTTGGTCAGTAACACACAGATGAGTAGCCTGCTGGACGTCATTGTGCAGGCCTCCAGCAGTGCTTCTCCTGTTCCTCCTTGCACAATGGACCTGCTGGGTTGATGTTCAGCCTATCAGGTCTATCCATAGATTCCTCCACTATGGCACGTCCACTGGTATCTCTGGATGTGCCTTCCTAATAATAAAAGATCTGATCCTCTGGGTCATTTATTCCACATTAACTTTCTGAATCCTTTCAATTTCACTGGCAACTCATAAGATTGAGAGTCACTTCTATTAACAGCAAATAGTCCTCACAGTTCTGCTGCTTTTTACATATTACACAAGAGAAACATTGTGTTTTACTCTTTTACCTTCAACTCTGAACACAATAAAATCCTATTTCACTGAAATTTTTCAGGCACGTTATCATTTCATTACCTTACATCAGAATAATACATCCCAACCAATTCGAGTAGAAGGTTATTAAAGATTACTAAAAGTTGACGTGAAAATTGTTGCTGTTAAACTGAAATTAAGATAAAATTGGATGTAAAACCTGTACTGAAATAAATGTATACAGGAAAACTCTTAACTCTGAGTTATGAAAGAAATAATCAAACAGATGCAAAGTTTCAGTAACTGGTTTAAAAATATATATATTTCTAGTAGAAGAATTGTTGTAAATGACTTCATATATAATTGATTTGTCATGATGAAAAGTCTAAATGATGTTAAGCAGAAATTGCAACAAATAAAACATAGTTCTATAAAAACTTTGTAAGTGGCTAGAAAGGACTGAGCTGATTATAATGTAGAGCAAAGTATGTATAATAATAAGGACAATGATACTTTCAAAACAGGTCATTTATTTTATTTTACATATAACCCCTTTTATAAAGCCTGTTGACTACAGCCTCTATACTAATATAATCAAAGACATTAGACATTAAATAACACACAAACACACAAGGAAATCACTTTTTGGTACGAAAGGGTGTACACAGTCATGCCAAACCGGTTTAAATTCAGGCTGAAGTTGAACTTTCCAGAAGGCTTGTATTTACTCGGGGGCGTGTCCTATTGTGACGAGACAATCGGTCCGCCAATCAAAATGCGCATTTATGTAACAGGAAGCGATGTTACGAAAACAAGCGCTTGTAACAGCACACACCTTGTTCGCCCAGACATCGGTTACCAAACCCTCGAGTTGCCTGGTAATTATGTCTTTTTCTATCTTTATACATTATTATTTTACTGTAAAAAATAATTTTGCTGTGTTTTGATAAAAAGCTACACGTCCACCGAAATAAGAAAAAAAAGCGATTGCATTTGTAGAGAGTTGTTAAATAACCTAAGATGCGCGGTTTTACATCATTGTGTAACTTTGCAGCGGCTGGAAAGCTGAGTTTGCCTCTGTCTTGTCCTTGGAAAAGGAGGTTTGGATAATCAGTCATGCTGAAAGCTGTGGGACAAGTGTTGTTCTCAACTGGTCTGCAGAATCCGAAATTCACTGCAGAGGAGAAAAAGGTAAGTGCTCTGCAGTTTAGCTCATAAAACAGAATATTGGACCTTTGGTCTGAGCTTGTCCCCACTGTCACGGGACAACAGGGTGATGTGCATTAAATGAGTGCGTGATGTTCAGTTGACAGCAGAAGAAACCACAGTAAATTTGGTTAAACTATTAACCCCTGTGTCGTGTGTGCACTGCGTTATGCATATTTCCACTTTTTGAAATGCAGGTACCCACACCCAGACTCTCCTGTTATAAAGCTGTGCTATTGTAATAGATGGAGTATGTTGTTAAGGATAAATATGAAAGGCCTTCTTTGAGAAACACATCATCTGGATGCCAGCTGTATACGTTGGATAAGCTGTATGTGTTGTTCTAAAATCTGTATATACAGCAGGGGTGGAACTACAGGAGGGGGCAGACAAAAGAAATGTCTGACAACAGAAATTTTCCATTTTGCTTTAGTGCATTTTAAATGAACGTTGGCCCAGAGAACAAGGTAGTTTTTCTGGATCATGTTTCATATATATATTCATGGATAGTGAACCGTGTTCATAGACAGTGATTTATGGAAGGGCTCCTGAGTCCATGCAGTGATTTCCATGACAGACTCGTGCCTGTTTTTAAAGCAATGCTGCCCGAGAGCACAAACGTCACAAGAATCCAGAATTGATTTTGGGGCCTTTTCTCATGCACATGGAGATTTCTCCAGATTCTGAGATTCTTTTGATATTATGTATTGTAGATGATGAGATATTTAAAGTCTGAGATGTCCTTTTTATACTGTGTCATGTTACTGATGTGCTGACAGTTAACCTAATTAGAGCAAAATTTTCCTCCAGATGTTACTTTTTAACACCACCAACACCACCTTGAAACATGTTGCAGCCATCAAATTCAAAATGACCCAATATTTTTCTTAAAAGTTTTATATTTTCTCAGTTTAAGCATTTCATATATTTTTTCTGTTCTATTGTAATGAAAATATGCTTTTATGAGTTTTGCAAATCATTGGGTTATGTTTGCTGTGTGAAATTTTCACACAGCAATTTTTTTTCACACAACTCCAGTTTTCTAGATTTGTGGCTAAATGAGTCATATTTTTGTTGTAACACACATTTGAAGAAAAAATGGGATTGTCTTTTTCACAGTTTTGAGGTATTTTGTATACAAAATCTTGGATTTTTTTAATTGCTCAATAATAACCAATTGTCATCCTCATTGTGCGCCTGTGTGTGGCAGGGACAGGACTATGAAATCCGCACCTACCAGCCCACTAAGTGGATGAGCACCTCTGTGAGCGGGATGCAGCTGGAAGCAGCCTTGTCTACTGGCTTCCGTAGACTCTTCAACTACATCCAAGGCAACAATAAAAACAGTGAGTTTCATGTTACTGCTATCACCTTCACGCAAGGTAAGCTGAGCCTGTGTTGCTGAAGTTGTGCGAGTTGTTTAAGGCTTTTATTTTGTGGCGCTGTGGCAAATCTGTTACAAAACCTACACGTCATAATGGCAGTATTTTAATGTTGCACAACAAATTTGCAGAGAACTGGGGTTCCAAGGCATCAATGGATGGAAAATTCAGAGAAAGTGCACTTTCGTTCCTGCTCAGCACTTTGCAACAGTTCCTCCTCTCTTACTTTTGCCTTGCTCAGCAGTTTGCAGCAATATTTATGAGAATATATATTGTTTGTGTTGCTGGCTCCTGAGGTGAGCAGCATAAGGAGATTGTGATCTGTAAACATGGCGTTTAATCCCATTCATCTGGCGCACATCGTGGTTACAGCCCAACCATCTGTACAGCTGTCACCATTCACCAAAGTTTCGATTCACCAGCTGGTGACTGATAGTTCGTTTAGGAAATTTAACATCTGTAAATCTTACACAAGCTGGTTATATTTCAGCCCTAGTATCATCATCATGATGTTTGGCATGTACTACTTTTTTTCTTCTTTTCAACAAAAGAACCTCCTTTCTTGCTGGTTCTATAGAGGCTAAAGTGGAGATGACGGCCCCCGTGACGTGCCACGTGAAACCCGGGGCCGGCCCTGCGTGTGAATCTCAGTTCACCGTATCCTTCTACATCCCAGAGGAGCATCAGGCCACTCCACCCGAGCCCAACGAGCCTGAGGTGTTTATAGAGCACAGGAAGGAGTTGACGGTGTATGTCAGGTAGGGTACAAACAGAGCCGCCAGGTTAGACTTTGGATTGTTTATTTTGTCCAAAACAAATACAGTGATCAGCCATGAGTGGTTTAGTTTTTTTTTTCTTTAAAAAAAGAAAGAAAGAAAGAAAGAAAGAAAGAAATCAATCTTTTGTCTATTCCTCCAGGACATACGGTGGTTTCTCCAATGATAACATGAAGCGTGAAGAGCTGCTGAAACTTATGGAAAGTCTGAAGAGGGATGGAGTCCAATACATCGAGAAACCATACTACGTAGCCGGGTATGACAGCCCTTTCAAACTGACCAACCGCAGGAATGAGGTCTGGATCCTCAAGAACGAAGAGGAGCAGTAGAGCGTTCCTGGGCCACACTCTATCCTATAAAAATGTTAGTGAAGGGAATTTAAATGTGATGATTTGATACATTTCAGTTTGACCAGCAACAAAAGTTAGATTTGCTACTTCCACTAAAAGTTACTGATTACTCACTGAAAAACTTGATAAGGAGACTAATTACACGACAACTAGAGGTCCTGTCGGCCATATGAAGCAATATAACCAGCAGGTGGAGCCAAGTAGTCAAGAAAATGTTTCTTATGTTAACAGAAAACCCCACAAGTGCGTCTTAATTTAAAAAAAAAAATTTTTTTAATGAATATTTTCAAAATACACTAATTTTAGGCTTTTGATTGTGCATGTTGCTAACCTCCTTTTTCACAGCAGATGTTTTAGCCTGACAGGGCAGGGACAGCACAGCACCCATGTGACCGATAACATTCACAGTGTGAGCCGGTTCCAGGGGGGCGGTGTCTGCTGGCTCACTGTGGGAGCACACTGTGTACCTTTCCTGTGTGCGACGGACACGAAGCTTCTTGCTTTTCGTTTACACTCCCACACTAGCAGGTGAGAGCAGCCACGTGTCACTCAGGCGACGCTGCTTAGATTTGCCGTGTCATCAGATGTTTCCATCAACACAGATCTGTTTAAGTCATGCTGACACCATAAATATATCTATTTTAAGATCACTGGCTGCACTCAGAATATGCCTAGATAGATAGATACATATATATTTTTTAACAATTCTTCAATTGCATGCAAAGAAAGAAGGCTACATGTGTGTTGTGCACCCTCTCCCTCTTGAGGTAGTCTTTCCTTCAGGTCTTATTGGAAAACTTAGTGAAAACAGTTAACCCATAATCATGAAACACAATTTCAAACAAACAGTTTCAGCTGCTTTTTCCTGCAACGTCAAGTCGAAGCCTTTGCTGTGAAAAATGTTCAAATAACATGGCAACTAACTGCTACTTGTTTACACTCACATATTGATGTGACAGGACTGTGTGTAGGAAACAAAGAAAGCAAAGAAAATGTTCGTAGTTGGTTTTTAAGTCAGTCCTAAAATAATACTAGTGCCTTTATGGACATTAAAACAAGGATAAATCCAGCCATCGCTGTGTGTAAAAGTGCACTCTGATGGCTGTTAGATGCAACTGTGACGCTTTGTCAGTCAGAGTTATGTGAATCAGCAGTCAAAATGGGGGGAAAAAATAGTTTTTTGCAGTTTGGTGAGGACTCGCAGTCCATAAAAAAAGTAAATCCACACAAAAATTATCAGCGCATCTAAAAGTGCAGAAGCCTCATATTTGTTTTCACTGAACTTTGGAGTATAATATTTGCACACGCCACGAGTTCAGCCTGTGAAAATGTGTCTCCTGGTACTTGGATTTGAGTCGCATTAAGAAAGGGATAGCATCAAATCCATTATGACCAGAGGGATCAAGTGCAAGGGATTAAGCATTAAACATATTTTGACTTTGTAGATCAGCTGCACAGTTTAGCAGAAGGTTTTTGTTGTCAGTCAGCTCGGGCACTGGGAAGGTGACTCTGCCTGGCAAGTGGCCGAGCGTCGGTAAATCTCAGTTTATCTGTTCTCAGGCCTCACTTACTGCCACTGCGACCGCATTTGCATCCATTGTGATGAATGGCTGGGCCCGTCACAACACGTCTCATAAGCTGTCATTTTTGTCAATGAATATAAATGTGTGTTGAACCAGCTTTGTGCTCAATTCCTCAGACTGACCATTTTTGCTTTAATATTGACAAAGAGAGCTAACAAAAATGTGCCTTTTTTGTTTTATATCTTCATATAATCATTAAGTGTGTGTGTTTATTACTCATAGTAGTACTCGGATGAAGAATGATGGCACGAGTACTGCACTGATAAGAATATGGGGAAATTTGAAAGTTTAAATAATGTAATAATTGTCTTATCTAATCAATAACTCGTGATTAAACCATTATTCGGATCATAAATGTGCGTTTAAGTATTTGTCCTTTGTATTTCATGCTGGGCTTTTTCAGTCACAGATTAGTTTCACGTGTTCAGTAACAGATAAAATCTGGATCGTCCTCGGCGCTCGTATCGATCGTTTGTCAGCCGCGGCTCACTTCGCCCTTCCTCACCTCACCTCACGTCTCCTCTCGCGCCCTCGTCGCTCTCAGCCCCGATGTCTGCTGAGTCACTCATTTTATTTGTGGCAGAATTGTTCCCAATATCATGTTCACACACTCAGCAGAAATTATGTCTTTTTTTATCCTCTGTTCATGCATACACACACGCATATTGATCTCATTGGCCGTGCTCAGCAAAGCGAAACATGCTGTGGAGGGGATCGGTATAATGAGGCTCACTGTTTTAATCTAAACACCAGTTTTGTATTTTAATTTTATCTTCTCCCCTCCAGCCTGGCGGCGACTAGAGCTGATGATGTGAAAGTACTTTCATTTTCTGGTGAGATTAACTGGAGAAATTTACTGTTCAGTTCGGACGCAACAGAAACTGTGTGTAGTATTCATATCTCATAATGCACATGTAAGAACTCTGTCTTGTTTGAGATTAATATAACTCCTGCCATTCATTAACTATAGTACTTTGGCTCAGCTGACTGGTGAATGAATGCTAGAGTTTAACACAGCTCAGACAGAAACACCTAAACACCAGTATTGGAAAGGTTTGGGCGAAGGGAGTCTACATGGCTGCTGTAAGCGGGTCCCCAAAAACTGTTTTCTTCTGTGGTTTAAGCCCTTATGAGTTAAAGTGGATAAACTAAGTATTTAGCTTGATTAAAACACTTTCTTCTACTATTATGCTTTTTTTAAAATAGCGTTCTTGTGTTGGAATCTTTAAATACTTTCACACTGTAAAATTGTATGCCCTCCAAATCAGTCCATCCACCTTTCTTTCACTTATCCAGATTTGAGAAGGTGCTGGAGTCTATCCCAGCTGTCATATGATGAAAGGTGGGGGTACACACATAGGTCTAACACATTCAGTCACACCTATGGTCAGTTTAGACTAACCAAATTACCCAACATGCACGTCTTTGGACTGTGATGAAGCCAGAGTAACCGGAGAGAACACGCGAGAACAACTCCACACAGAAAGGTCCCAACCTGGATTTGAATCCATGTGAAAATTATTAGCATAAAAACGGTGGTTAGCACTATTGCCTCACAGCAAGAAGGTCCTGGTTTGATTCCCCCATCTGGCCGGAGTCTTTCTGTGTGGAATCAAGTGCAAAAAAAGCTAGATGTTTAATAAGTGAAGCAGCACTCTGTTCACCAGCCTAAACACATGTGGTTACTATTCCTGGCCTCCCTGTGATCAGCCCTGTTTTATTTGCCATGCCTTATAAACACTCTCCATTGAGTGGTCTTGAATGTAAGAAGACGGGGGGGAAGCGGTGAAGTGTCAATAGTGTGATTATAGCTGCGGGGAGTTCGTATTGATTCCCGTCTCGCAGCCAGATGGACGCTGCGTCAGAGGGCAGGTGGCTGCTGAATCAGAGGTGACGGGGCTTCATTTAAAATACTAAGACAATGTCTGCATTTCTGTTCCCCCGAGAAGACTGAACGGGCCAGTGGCGCAATGGTATTTATAGGTGTCTCTCTGCAGGACGTTGTTGCAGGAATATTGAGAAGTTGCAGCGTCCTGTCTGGATGGCTCAGCGCTAACTGGGAGTCACGCGAGAGGCTCTAACCCAGTGCGTCCTAATAGGATGTCCAGAAGGAATATAAGTGATGACCCCTGCAGAAGGAGCAGGGTGAATAACGGGAGTTTTCCAGATGACGGACGAGTGTGGGTGCCATGGCGACGGCGCTAATGAGGCTGTGATTTGGGGTGTTGAGCAGGCAGATGGCCGTGAATCACACACACACACACACACAGAGAAATGACACAGAGATGCGTTCTTTAAATATCACCTTGTTTTTATTACACAGACATACACGAGAGCGTTAGCAGCCTGCCTTCAGCTCCACTCCCACTACTTCTTCTGTCCTCTCTGTCTTTTCACAAGCACAGATGCTTTCGGGAGCGCTCAATCACAGCCTGGCAGGCTCTGGGAGACACATTTTTTGGTCACAGGTGATTAACACACAGGCTGTTATGGCTGTTAGGAGGGTATGAAGTCTCACGGCTGTCACCTAAAGAGACCACGTTTATTCAGCCGTGAGCACCAGTGTGGTGACTTCAGATTAAAGGCTGGTTAAAATTCATATTATTATCTTTTTGATGCGTCTTTAACAGAATAACGGCTCGCTGGGGTCAGCCAGCTAAATGTGGCTCTTTGATTTCTCTGCTTAACCCCTAACCTCTCTATCCTGTGCCTCAACCACCCGTCAGCTGACTCGGACCAGTTAAACCATACCGACGCCCTCCTATGTGAAAATAAATAATCTACACAAAAGGAAACCACTCCCTTTCAGCAAACAGAGGGTTCTAAAAAAAATGTACAAAGTCTTTGAAAATAGGTCAAGTGTGACTTAAAACTCAATTCTCTATTTATTTACATATAGAACCATATAAAACTGCAAAAGGATAAACAGAAAGGTCAACAGCATTATAGAAATTATATAGAAATCTGCCCCCACAGGGTCTGGTGGATCTTCTCGGAGCGTATGCACGGGGGTGTCAGACTATCGGATTGCTGTCACGTCCAACTCCGTTTCATTTTTCAAGCTCTTTGGTAACCCACACGATCACTAAAAGATAATAAAATATCCTTTTACTCTAATGTTATCATTTCATACTTAACTTCCAAACACGTGACATGACATGATGCAATTGGTTTATTAAAACAATTTTTTTTTAAATTCACCAAGAAAAAAAAACCTGTGCACAGTGCAAATTCTACAAACTAACTTTTATGAGCCTTTTCAGAGAGTAATTTTGATGTTTTGGTTGAACCTTCGTATCCCCCAACTATTTTTCCACACTGTTCCCCGTCACTAGGTGGCAGCACTGAGCCCTCCGCACTTACTATGGACCCCTGAACACACCAGCTCTGCAAACTAAAACCACCGATCAAAGAGCGGGAAAAACAAAAACCCCCGTTGGTAACCGTAGGTGAAGTTGTACCGCGGAGCCATCTGCTGTACCACGTCCTCGCGCCTGTTCCACGTATTGATTGGCTGTTTGAAGCCGACACTTGCAAGCCACGGTGCTCTCAAACACTTCCCACAGCCAGCAGAGGAAAAGCAGAAACTGAAAACAGGCGAGCCTCCCGCACACTTTTACATTCCACTCTCTCCTAGCTACGTAGCACCACAGCAGCAAAGTTAAGCGAACAGTCAGTGACTTCTCCATTCCTTCAATTCACTTAAGTTTGCCCATCTTAGCTTTTAGTCCTTTGGTGAAACTAAAAGGACTCCTGCGGGATGAAGGTAGAAAGAAAACAAAAAAACAAATGGCAAACAAAACTAGGAACACCAGGTCTAAAAGAAACACTATTCTTTGAACAAAAAAAGGTGAATCACCAAACGAAGGAAAGAATGAGAATCATGGCAGTCTTAAAAAGCTGGAGCAGGTCCACTTCTCTGCTTCAGACTGCGCTGTCCGGTCCGTGATGGAGCTGCATCCAGGTCCCGCATCAGGACCAGACATGTCCACTCCCTCAGAGGGGCGGGGGTGGAGCTCAGGAAGGTGTCTCTAGAGGGCCTTGTGTTGGGCTCCTCTTCCAGCTCCCTGCCTGGTTACAACGAATAAGTTCAGCTCCCCAAAGCTAAGGGGCGGCTCCTGCTCTTTTAACTTCTGCTTTCTTCAGATAAAGTGCCATTGGAGTCTTTGAGCACAGGGACAGCCTGAGCTGCTGGCTGAGACAGACTTTCTGCCGTGTCTCCGTACTCGCTCTCAGCCAGTTCCCCGTCCCGCTCGCAGATTACTGTCATCGGGCTGCTGAGGATTCGGCTGCGGGCGTTGTACTTGCTGCTGGCAGCTGAGGGCGGCGTCCGAGAGCGCCCGTACTTAAATCCGCCCATTGAAAAGGGCGACGAAGTCGGCGAGGACAGGGTAAAGACATCATAACGGCCCCGCTCGTCAGCTGCCCTCTTACCCCGGCCCGGGGAACCGGCCGGGCTGTGCAGGGCCATCGGTGAGGAGGGAGAAGCAGTGGGGGAGTCCAGCGCAGATTCAGAGCGTGTTCGCTGGGAGCGTGGGTCAGTGGAACGAAGCATTTCGGCAGCAGACATCCTGAAACTGGTCTCAGAGCGGCTTCCCTTTTTCAGGAGAAGTGCCTTGAAGGTGTCGCTGCTGGTGGAGGACTTGCGGAGATTGCGCTGGATGGATCCCGACTGACGGGGCAACGACGACGTCATCCCTGGAGACAGGCTCGTCGGGGTGGTGGGTGGAGATTGCGAGTGGCTCCCAGGCCGGGTCTTGTCTTCCTCGGACTCCTTGCGACCCAGGACCTTGCGCTTTGACCTGTGGAAGAAAAGATGATTTTAAAATAGACTTGAGGACTTCTGCTGAGTGAGCGAGCGGAAGCACAGCTGATCAAATTATTTTTTTATGCTGACTCGACAGAGCAAAATACAGGACTAAGTTACTGGGGCAGTGTTGTCAGGGAGCAATGAGCTCAGATTTAACTATTCATCCACGGGATTTCACACATGTAAGCCCACTCTTGTTGATGTTTGTGCTGCAGCTTAAAAAAAAAAAAGATTACATTTAAAACTCTGCTGCCCACGTTCCACAAATCTTTGTCCCAAATTTGCCATATGTCAGCACTGCCCCCAGCAAACAAACATGGCGGCGTATCTCGGATACAAACCAGGGCTAAGGAGCAGAAGAAGAAGAGTTACACATTTGTGGTTAAAAGAAATCCGGTGAGGTTTTACAGCAGAAGCTCCAGAAGCTGCAACGCTGCATGAAAGCTCAGACGCGGCACAATAAAATTAATAAAAAACAAACTGAGGAAAGCGCCCAGAGCAGTTTTAATCACATGAGGACGAGGCGGCCTCCTCTCAGCAGGGGGCGGGTGGTGGTTGTTGTGGTCGGTATCAGCGTAGTCTGCTGCACCACTCATCCTTGAGTGTTGATAACTCCTGCACCAAAGCATGGCAATAAAAGCTGCAACTGGCAGAATTAGGAGGCGTTAGGGCTTGAGGCGAAAACAGCCTTATTAATCTGTGTCTGTGATACCGGGGGTGGCGGGTTGCACCGAGGGATTACTGCTGCTAATCCCAAGGCAGCATCAGCGTGGCGGTGGTGAAAACAAGGCTCGCTAATTAAAGGAAAGGGGCTACTTGCCACTACGCACCTCTCTAGAAACACTGCACCCATTCCCTCTCTGCACAGTGGAAGAAGAGAGGAGAAACATGATTAACGGAATTACAACTACACATTCTGTGATAAGGGAGACAAAATTTTTTAATCCTCAGATTAGATCGTTGGAGGGAAATCTTCCCTAAAGGGCAAATAACCTGTGGGGATGAACAGCGCTGTGTGAAGGTCAAAAAAGTGCAAGAGAGGACGGAAGGGATGGAAATGGTTTGTGTGAGAATCTAACGCTGCAAAATATGTCTGTGCCCTAAATTCAACCTCCATCTAGCGTCATCCGCTGTGAGCTCCCTTTCCACATTAGCCCATCAGCATTACATAAGACTTTTCTCACGCACAATCCCACGTGCGTGCACTCAAACACACCTGAATTCAAAGGCTCCGTTGTGAACTTGCAGTGGCAAACATCCAAACAGAGAGCACAGGTGCCAATCCCAGTTATAGAGGTAAACAAGGAGGCAATATAAGCATGGCTGCAATGGATCGATTTCTTTCTGCTGGCTGGATTACATTCGATTTGGAGGATTTCTCTCACAACGAACTTGTGTTTTCGGCCGCTGCTGTGAAGGAATTTCAACTCGAGGCTTTTATTACTCTCTGATTTCACAGACAGCGAGTGAGAAAGGACGGGGGAACGTGAAGGTGAAAGAAAATAAAAACAAAAAGAACTGGGCAGGTGGTATTACAGGGGTGTTACAGTTAATACCCGGTGCTTCCACCCTTGAACAGTTCTCGATTGAATTTACAGTTTAGGGCACTTTTTGCAGATCGAATTTGTGCGAGTTCATTCTTTTGTTTGAGGGATCTTCTTTAGTTTTAACAGCACCGCTGGGAAACGGTCATCACTTCCCAAATCTGCAAAATTATTCTATATCTCCCACGCTGTGAGGGTGCGATAGATGGAGGAGGAGGAGAGTGGTAAACAAATGCTGCCTTGACTGCAAACGCACACACGCTTACACAATATTCACGCTTAATTAGGCAGCGCAATAAATGATACATGCACACGTGACGTGGAGACCATAAATACAGCAAAATGAAATCCTGAGACGCTTAAGAGAACTCCCCAATGCTGCTGCTGCTGTTGCACGTGACCGCGAAACCCAAACTGGCGGGCTGCATGAGAAATTTATGTCTGTGCCGCCTTCAGTCACAAGAGCACGTATGCAGTATATGTCAGAGACAGCGGAGCGGCGTATAGACGGAGAAACGGAGAATGAGAAATGTCTCCAGTGGCCTCTAACCCAGATTAGGACCAGGGGGTGTCGAGTAGTAAATTATGGATGAAGCAACAGCCTTTTTTTTTTCCTTCTTTCTTTTTTCTTGCTTAAAATGAGCAATTCTAATCTAATTACACTCACAAACACTTAGTATACAAATTAACCGTTGCCTTCATGCTTCACAGCCCTTCACTGGCCAGAGATCGGCTTTCTGACAGATGTGTACTCTTCTGTATGGGATAATGCTGGATAAAGTTATGACTGAGAGGTGGAGGGCAGAGAGTGGGGGATGACTGAAAAACACAAATCACAGGTGACACTGTGGTTTATGAGGATGTTGGAAAAGCAGGAATGACAGAGAGGGCAGGTGGAGAGGACAAAAAAAGTAGGAATAATAGGAAGCAGGACTAGATTGGGGAAATAAATTATGTATCCAGAGCCGAGGTGGGAGAGGAGAAAATAAGTTGCTGTGGTGCTCTAAAAATGAGCAGGGCGACAAGGACATTAGACGAGTGCATCATCGTACCTGTGAATGGCGGCGAAGAGGTCCTCTGTGGTTCGGGGTCGCGTGGGAGTCGGGGTTACCATGCTCTTCTCAGACGCCCCGTTTGCTGACGGGGCTGGAGACGACTCTGCCGTACTGGATTCAAAGACGTCACCTGAGGTCAGGGGGGATATACAGTTTACATCCAACACAGTCAGGAGAGAGCAGACTTTTAGGGAGCACACGCTCCTACATCCATCCTGTCGCATTAACCTGGCCGCCTATGAAATCTGAAGTCGTACGGAGGAGATGTCCAACTGTCTCCTTACATTCTCTTCCCTCTCTAGATTTTCCTCTTCTTTCATTTCCTCTAGTTTAGCTTTTTTTCCCCCTCCTCCTCCTCTTCCTCTTAACCTCCGCGCTCACGTCTGAGCTTCGACTGCCTGAGCCGCTGCAAGCAGTCTCACTTTACGCTCTCCCCATCCTCCCCTTCATCCCCTTACCAGATCCGTTCCCCTCCCCTCCGATACGACCGAGCCCCTCCCCCCTGTCCCTCCAACCACATAAAGCATCTCCTTTGGGATACTTACCCCCCCTTCCCTTAACTCAGAGAGGGAGTGGGACAGAAGGACAGCTGAGTAGGAAAAACACGGGCTGAGCGATTAACACAAAAAAAAGAGAGAGAGAGCAAGAGAAAAGGCAGAGGGGCAAAAATGAATATTTGGACAGAAGAGAAGGATGGATGGTGGAGAGGAGTCGAGTAGACAGCGGAGGCTGAGGTGTGTGTACGTGTGCAGCAATGCGGGGGGGGACAAAAAAAAGAAGGGGGACAGCAGCCAAAAGAGATCTCCGCATACAAAATATAGAAGGAGGAGTAGAATAAAGAGTAAGCGGGATGACTGCACGAGGCTGCAGAGCTGCTGTCCCAGTGATAAGCCGTCGCTCCCGCTTCGTTTTCACACTTTTCAAACCTTTAAAAGCTTCTGCCTTCAAGTTTAGCTCGCTTGCTTAGAGGCAAAATAAATTTTACAGCAGCTCAAAGGAACCCATTGCACAACCCTCAGTCTGCTGGATCACTTCTAACCTCTTAGGATTTTGGCAAATAAGTACATTAAGGCTTTCTGCTTCCGTTTCTGCATTTCTGCGTTTGTTTTGTGGAAACATATTGAGTAAACTACGAGTCAGACTCACCTGCCTCGTCGTCCTTGGAGCTGATGGACCCTGTGGTGCTGCTCGTCCCATCACAGTCCTCTTCCTCTTCTTCATCAGCCTCTCCGTTGGTATAAAGCCCAGAGGCATTACTCGTCTCCTTGCTAACAGATGTAGTGATACAAGACTCGTATCGGGTTTCAGTGAATGCTCCTTTGCTCTCTGCTAAATGCTCTAAAGTGTCTTCTCTCTCCTCCTGATGCTCACCGTCCTCCTCTTTCACCTCTTCTTTTGTTTGTCTTCGCGGAGAATCTACTTGGTCTTCTGTTTGGGGGATGTTAGTCTCTTCCTGCTGAGATGGAAACAGTTTATTTATTGTTTGGGGGCTTACTGGTGGGACAAGGGAAAATTTGGGCTTCTTGGAGACTGCTGGGGGTGGGGCCTTCTGCTTGATGGGAGAGCTTTCGTGGCTCTGTGGGGGACTGGGCAACGCTAGTGCCTCCTCTTTTTCATTCCCATTCACAAGTGTGTAACTCTCATCATCAGCTTTTCCATTTACGATGGCAATGTCCGGTGAGTCCTCTGTGATGCTGTCATCCAGTGACAACTCTTCCAGGAGCTTTGACACAGGCGATGGTGAGGAATAATGGGAATCCGCTTCCAGAGAGCTGTTCAACAGGGGTAAGACAGTGGGATGCTCCTGAGAGTAACAGCTATCCAGGCTCAGAGGCTTTAGCCCCTGAAGGAGGTCCATCCCTGTTTTCTCAGCTTTGTTGTCATCTGTGATCTCCTTCTCTGGTCGCTTGACTGAACGAAGCTGAACGCTCTGCAGTGCAAATGGTGTGATGAGGGGCTTAGGTGAGTTTGTGGGACTGTTAGAAGGAGCTGCTTTAGGAGCATCATTTAGTGCCTTCTTAAAAGATGGGGAGGAGGAAGCTGTAACAGTAGCCGGCAGAGGAGGAGGAGGTGGTGGGGGTGGTGGTGGAGGAGGGGGACTGAAGCTCCCATTGGGAGATGAACTCGGGTGAATCAGCATCTCGGGGGATGGAGGTGGAGGGAATTCCGGGGAGGTGGAGCAAGTAGAGTTCAGGCTTAGAGAACCTCCCTGAGGAGTGGTTGGCAATGGGGGAGCTGGTGGAGGAATCAGGGAAGCTGTGCTAGAGCTTGGCGGTAGAGGGGGAGGGAAGGGTGGAGGTGGGCTGAGAGGGGTGTTGGGAGTTGAGGAGGAGGAGAAGAGGAGAGGTGGTGGTGGTGGAGGAGGAGGACCGTTGCTCTTAAGTGAGTCTGAAGTGTTGGAGGAAAGGGAGGTAGAAGAGGAGGACATGGAAACTGATGAGAGGAGAGAGGACTTCCTCTCGGGGACTTTGGGTTTTGGCCGGCCGCCCGAGGGAGACATGGACCTGGCGAAGGCGGGCACTGGGGTTCCAGCTGTGGGAGTGTTGGACTGGCTGGAGTAGCCACTAGATGGCGAGGTGAGTCTATGCACCCGGTCTGGGGAGGAGGTGGAAGCTTTGGGCTTCGCCGACACCTCTCGCTCCTGACCTGGAGCTCCAGGGATCTGACTTTTGTGAATCCCTCCTCCATTCTGTAAGACTACTGGGTGAACGCCGGCTGACATGTTATCTGCTGCATGGGCTGGGGGTGTCTGCTCCCCCTGGTCCGAGTTGTTACGAGGGTAGTCCATGTAGTAGCCCCAAGAGTCGGCATAGTCAGAGCGCAGGCTGCTGGTGTCACTGTGGGCAGGTGTCACATGGCATAGAGAGTACACGCTAGACACGCCGCCGCAGTTTGCGTTAGCTGCTAGTGATGCTGCGGAGCTGCCTGCACTGATGCTGCTGTGACTGCGCGGCCTGAGGACCCAAGGGTCATCATAATCGCTGCTTGGGCTGTGAGAGGTTGATGATGGCGACGCACCCTTTCCCTTCCCTCCTCTCAACCCCATCTGCAGGCTCTGCTGCAAGCTTGCAATTAGAGTTTCATTAAGTGTTGTACCCCTTTCCCCGTTAGCACCGTTGATGGCGCTAACACCTCCGGGGGGCATTTTTGCAGCTGGCTTGCGTCTGAGAGAATCCGTGCGAGCTGGTGGCAGGGGAGGCTTCTTGGATTTGCGTAGCGAGATGCTGCGTGATAACGAGCGGTCACTGTACAGGCTTCCAGAGTCCTCCTGATTGGCCATCTCGCGGCACTCGTACATGCTGTGTCTGGTGGCCCGGCCAGCTGCCACCCCGTGCCCGCTACCGTGACTGCGCGAGCGCAGGCCTGAGTCCAGGTGCATAGAGGTGTAGTATCCATCATTGTCCTGGGAGTAAAGAGAGCTGGAATCAGTAGTGGTCCTAGAGGACTGATCCAGGCTGCCATAGAGCTGGTTGATTGGAGTGGAGCAACTGGAGGTCAGAGTGCGGTGTGGAGCCACCACATTTTCTGGTGTGTCGTAGATCCAGTTCTCCTCCGGCAGACAGGATGGTGGAGTGGGGGCCAAGGTGCTGTGGCTGTGGGCGCTACTGTCAGAGTGACCTGACTCACTGGCAGGTGCTCTGACTTTCAGGCCACTATCCTGTGCTGTGTGAGTAGGAGTAGACGTGGCCAAGGCAGGGCAGGTGGAGCTGTGGGTGAAGGCTGCTGGACTAGAGATCAGCGGGTCAGCATTAGTTGGGGAACCCAGACTGAGCGCTCGAGCTGCGGGATAAGCTGAGACCGGGGACTGGGTGAGCTGGCTCGAGGTGTTAAGGGTAATAACCTCAGCAGAACTGGACATGGTGGCATTGGGGATGAATGAGGTGGAATAAGCAGCATGAGGGGAAACCACACATGCCGGACCCCCGCCCCACTCACTGGACTGTGTCCCCTTCAGCTCCTGGGACTTGGGCCTGGGCAAAGTTCCTGTCCTCGGGGCGTTTCTCATGTGTACCACAGTATCGTCGACCTGAAGCTTTCCAATTTGCCTCTGCAGATGTTCCTCTGACTTGATGGGCGTGCTGCTATAGATGGGATCGGCACTGAGGGACACTCTTGCGCCCTGTCGGGGCAGACTGTGAAAACGCGACGGGTCTCCATTAAAATGCTGCGGCAGCATCAGTATTCCAGAGCTGTCGCTGCTGGAGATGGATATACTTCCTGTTGAAGAGGAAGCGGATATGCCAGCCATCTGAGCAGCGATTCCCTGTCCTCTCTGCGCGCGAATTCTTCTCATGGACGGGGGCACGATCTTTACTTCTTCTGTCTGACAGCTCGAGTCTCTGGTCACCGAACGTCGGAGAGTTGAGTTGACACTCCCAGTACGGCCAAGTGTGGAGTACTGTCCAGGGAGGAACATAGAATGTGGCCGGAGATCTCCGCAGTGTCCTTTTGCTGTTGTCAAAAAAAAAAAAAAGAAAAAGAAAAAAGAAACATATCAACATGTGATTCCTCTTCCTGCTACCCCACCTTCACCCCCCCTTGCTATAACTTCTTCAGCCACAAACCTTTCTGCTCTTCTGGCTGGAATGTCAGATAAACTGTGGTCACATGGAAGCTAATTAATTTGATTTGGCGTAACCTGATTTACGTTAATAACTTCTGGTCTTCTTCATTATGGAGAAAAGGATATGAGGAGAGACAGAGACAAGAAATAGAGGCTCTGCTACTACGCTTCTCCTACGCTGGCTACATCAGATAGAAAAATGGAATAGTCTCCTTGGGTGGCAGGACAGGCAGCTGGTTAAGCATTAGGCAGAGAAAACCCCCCCAAAAAAACACAAATAGGAACATAGACATACAAGAAGACACGTGTGCATGCCAAGCCAGCCCTGTCATGCACACGGACAAACATAAAATGCACATAACAGAAAGATGCACACTGAACATACCAGCTAATAAACAAACAGTTTGAAGATTGAGTCGTAAAACGAGAGAGGATGTCTACTGTGTCTCCCATCTGTGGTGGCTTCTACTGTTGATGCTCGTCTTCCAAAACATACACACTCTTGCGTCCTTTCTTCTCTCTCTCTCTCTCCATTCGCTCTGAACCACACATACACTCTCCTCCTCCTTTGCTAAAAGCTGGACTGACAGCTCGGCTGTTGCTGCTGCGATAGATTAAGCTGCAGGTCTACTTTGCAGGCAGCTCTGGTGCAAGGAGAGGGGAGGGATGGAGCACTGGGACAATTATCCCGGCCCAGTAATCATGACATTCAGAGGGTGTTGTCAGCTGGGCACTAACCAGACTTTAAAGCTCTTTTCCTATCAGCCTGGGCGATGTTATCGCACAGAGCAATGACATTTCCCTTAAATGGTGCTGTCATCCCGAAGCTCAATGACGTGTAAATAAACATTAGCCATGCGGTGCTGTCAGCAGAACACGGTGTCAGATTAGTGAGCTTAGTACTCGCTTAACACTGGGCTCAGCTGAGTAACTCTGAGGGGACCTCTGCATCTTTACATTTCTAATGTAGGATAGGATGATAAGCCTCAGAAAGCGCATGTGAAGGTGGCTTATCGACCTGAGATCAGGGCTTGTTGTCTCATAGATAGTTTATTAATAATCTTATGCTACCAGCATACACTAAGGCACAGATATACACACATCATAGACAAAAGGACAACAGAAAGTTGATCCAAATGATCAACCAATCAGAAGCAAAGTCTGACGTTACCTTCTACCATATGACAGAACTGGCAAACTCTAAAAACAGCTGCTGTTATGTTAGAAGTTTTTTAAGCAGTATAACAAAAAGACAAGAAAAACAACAGAACTACAAAAAAAGGATTTCATAACTTGTTCTTGGCTGCAGATCCTCAGGTGGAGGAGAGTGAATGAGGACAAATGATAATGTAGACATCAGCTGTAGCAGCTGCACATCCTTTATCCAACACTGTAAGCTCACATGAGTCAGTCTGACCCTCCTGGGCTCGCCAAGTTTCTAACTCTACACAGTTATGTGTGATAAAAGCATAAACCTATAGAGAACAAGGTTGCTTGCAGTAAAGAAAGGAAGAAGAGATGCTCGTCTAGCGTGTTGGTACAGGTCTGTGGACAGCAGAGGGCAACATGTAGCTCCACAGTGATCCATACCTAGCTCCAGGTTGATGTTGTCAGGCAGCCCTGATATAGTCTTTCTGCGTTTGACCTTCTTGGGCCGGCGGGACACGGTGTCAGTGTTAATGAGGGAGCGCCGGATGCTCGCCTGTCGGTCAAACACTGCCCCTGGTAGCCGGGAGGGCGAGAGCAAGGCAGGCGGACAAACAGGCAAACAGCAGTCGGTTAGTCAGAAGGAACAAACTCAACAGACATGCGGAGGGTTTTTGTTTTTTCCAAGTTGGACATGCAACGACAACAGGGCAGGAAATATTAAGGTCAGTTCAACCAAATTACAAATCGGCATTTTCTTTCCTTGCTTTTATTTTAAGTCTCAAACTGATTTGTGCTTCTAAAAACTTAAGATTTTAGTTTTTATTTATTTTTAAGGATGCATGCATTGCTTTTTTTTTTTTTTTAAAGGATGATATTACTCAAGAGTGTCTTTGAAGATTTCTGTTATATTTATATTATGGTGCAAAATCACATACTGGAAACCCCTCGTGTGGAACTCGAGACTGCTCTAGACAAATAATAAATGAGAATATATATTAAAATATGACAGGAGACGTCACAAGTGTAAGTACAGACTACAACACCTATTCCCCTTATCAAGTTAATATGATAAATGAGGCACCTGAATTTTAACTTTATTTATATTCATATTTATTTATTAGAGCCATTTTGTTATATTTTGTATTAAAATTATATCATTTCATTCATACTTTGGTCTTTCATTTAAATATGATATTTTCTTATTTTTATATACTTGAACTATTGACAGTAACTAACTTTAATTGGTTAGTTACTGTCTTGTAGCGAATGTGAACAAAATTTCCACTGGGATTAACAAATTATTTGATTCTTCTGATTAAATTCTTGAGAAATGCTAAATATTAAATACCTAAAATCGTTCTTATGTCTGGATATCCAACATATCCAAACTACTAACTGGACTTGAAAAAAAGTTTGCATTTTTCTGAACTAAAGCTGGATTCAAATAGAAAGGTTTAACACTTTCTAGTTAAGTATGGTTATGCTCAGTGGTGGGATAAGAGTGATCCACAAAAACATGTTGTGCAGCAAGCATGTGAATCTTCCTCTTCAACACGAGAAAGTTTAGCCTAATTGAGAAAATGCATTGTGTTATTTGGGTGAACTGAACTTGAGTTAAACTTTTTCACCAACCAGCCAAAGTGTCTTTTACAACCCACGGAGAGAAAATGGTTGTGATGCCAATCAAAAACAAAAGCAAAGGGCCTGACAAAGAAAACCTTGGCTGGCCTTTATGCAAACTTCCATTGCAGGGTATAAACATACATTGATGTAAGATGTGTGAGATGAGAAGTACATGCTCTTACCACAAAGCTCAACATGCGAAAGGACAGATATGGGATGAAAGGTGCTTTCAAACTCACACACGTACTCATGCAAACATGAACTGCTTCTCAATAACCTCCTCGCTCTGAGTCCGGTTTCCCTGAAGGAAGAGTGATATGTCGCTATGAACTGCTGCTCTTTCTGCTATCTCACTAGCTGGTGACAGCCTGCAGGCATCAGGGAAATAGAAACTGATATAAGGGCGGATAGCTGCGATCACAAATTCCTCTCAAAGTGGCAAAGCCCCTGATCTCTCGGTGGGTGTTTTACTCCTTCTTTCCCACTATTTTGAAGTGACAACACTGATTTATGTGGCGAGGGACCACGTTAAATGCTAATTAGTGTCAAAAGGCTGTAGATTGCAGATATATTAACTATGACAATAAAATATGGATGTTGATGCTGAACTGAGAGTTCTGCGAGTCCATCCCACCGCTGGATTCCTTCAAAAGAGTCTCATGAACAAATCTTAAGATAAGTGTACCTATGAGTGGCGGAAAACCTTGAAAGATGTGGCGCGCTAACAGGGGAACTGAGTCGACACAAATTTGCTGTGTACGAGTGTTCATCTGTCAAACGGCCAGTGATCTGACACAAAGACAATGAAAAGCCTTGACCCTGGCATAAGCTGTCAAAGGACTTTCAGGCATAAACACACGCTCACGCATGCATAAAGGAAGGCAAAGGTCAGTCTGCAAGAGGCATGATGAGAGGAGTGAAGGTAACATAGAGGAGGTTGAGTGCCACGTGCAGGTTTGCCCCCGTCTGTGGATGACTGGATACAGTTCTCTATTATTCTGCAACCACTCATTCACAGAAGGTTGATTAAAGGAAATATGTGACTTTTTTTTCTTTTTTGTAAACAGAAACAGTAAAAACTAACTAAACTAATAAACTGAAATGCAAATTTCTCATGACATGTCAGCGTGCTGACACTCTCTTTATCATCGGATACCTCAATCAAACTGCTAAAAAAGTCAGAAATTTCCCTTAAGAATAGCAAAAGGCCCGTGGGTGAGATGGTAATGCAAAATAAGAGACACCAGGGACGAATGAGGCCGATTAAACTGTACAAAAATGGAGCTACGGATGGATCGGGACATTGGTTCTCAACCTGGCGATGAAGAATGGTTGCTACTTGCTAGCAGTTGAGAGATGGACTGAATGAAGTCATGAGGTGTGACATACCTGTGACATTGATGGCAACTATGTCTGTGGGTACGGCCTGAGCTGCCCGCCTCATCTTCTCCTCTGGGGTGGGGAGGAGGGCAGCCTTGTTCCATACCACCTGTCTGTCAGGGTCGTACCCCTCCCCTCCTTCGCCCATGCCCTGCGGCGTCTGAGACCTCATGGAAAGCTGAGATTTGTCATCCTCCAGCGATGAAGCGGTGGACTGATTGAGAGAAAGATAACATGTTAATGACAAGGTAAAGCTGAAGAAAGAAATACTAGAAAGAGAGGAAAGGAAAGAAACAACATGAAGTAACATGATGCGACACAATGAAAGGCAATACATAAAAATAGCATCAGATCGAAGCATGAAAGTTATTACTAAGAATAAATGTCTATATAATGGTATAAAAGGTGAGTGGAAATAAATATCATAGGATTTACTAGTCAGAACCATAAATGACAGATTGTGCCAATATGACCTGAACAAACTTTAATATATTACACTGCTGTGACCTTTAGAAGCTTGCGGCCCGTAAACATCCTATCCAAATGGAAACGGTAAACCATGCACTCACAATCACACAAATAAACACCCGCAACAGAGAACTGACAGAGCAGTCGGAGATGGGAGGATAAAAGCTACAGAGCAACAGCGGGGAGAGACACAGAGAGAGAATCACTCATGCAGTAAACTGTGCTGACACGCTAAGGGCCCTGGATTGTGAATTTACGGCAGAAAGCAACAGACAGCGGTGCTTTACCACAGCGTCCAGGCTTGAAGTTGAGCAGTTAGTCCAGAGCATGGCAGCAATGTTGTTTAGGTTGATGTGAGTGCCATTTGTTTCCATTCAGAGCAAAGAAAATCCAAATGATTCTAAATTGGAGTAATTATAGGTAGTTACAAATCCAGATGATTGCCACCAATTACTACTGCATCCCTCAAACTTTTCCTATCCCCTGACTGAGAGTGCATTCATACAAACAATGCACGGATGGATGGGTAAATATGGGGGCAGCAAAAAGGGGAAGTGAAGAGAGGGGATGTATATAAAAACATCTCAGCAATAGTTTGGTTTCAAGCATGGCTTATTACTTTGCATAGCTGTGGCTCAAGCGGGAGCCCTGTTTCTTCTTTTGAAGCTGCTGTCAGGCAAAGTTAGGCTCAGCGGTCTCAGTACAACAGGAAGTGATGGGGAAGAGAGCAGGAGGGGGACAAACAGTGGAAGAAGGGGCAAGGAAGGAAGGGCAGAGGGGGATTGGCTTGAGCTGAAGAGATGGGGTGAGTGTGCAGAAAACAGGAGAACAAACAAGAGATGGGAGGCGACAGTTTAGAAAGACAACATGGAAGTCAGGGGTCAAAGCGAGGATAAAACCGAGGGGCTCCAAGGGACAACACAGTGAAAGACCCACTAACCCTTTCGAGTGCTCTTCACATCACACTGTGTGTGTGTTCGAAATAAAAATGAGATGAGGAATATGCAGCTTTCTGACCATTTACACTTCACTTCACACAAATTGTCTGTCAGATGAAAAGAGCAAGAAATAATCGTTTTTGTCTCGGATTCATTTTCTTGTCAATATTTTTCTACCCGTCTTTATTTCTGCCTCAAATTTCTGTTTCTCTTCTTTAGTTTCTTTCTTGAAGTGTTTATAGACATCAGAAAAATCACAGGCCCCACAACCGTGGTCAACAAGTGTGCATTTCTTCTACAATGCTCTGCAAATGTTTAGAGGAACCCCTTGCTTAGTTATATTTTTTCTGGGAAAAATATCAAGATGATCCCACACTGTTTCAATAATACTGAGGTCTGGGCTCATGACATGACTTTCAGATTTTGTTCATCTGCTGTAAATACTCTTTTTCTGCCACTTCTTCTTCTCCAGTATCCTCACACTATGGTGAAATATGCCAAGTACTTTATCTCTGTGTTATCTTTCATATTTTTCATAGATTGAACAAAAGACTTGGAAATAATTATGTATTTATGTATTATCAAAGTTCTCTGTTATGCGAACACAGGCTTGGTGTCTTTTTAAATGCGTGAATGATTCACAGGTCAGAGTGACTGGGCTGGAATGAAAACAAGTAAAAAAGCAGCCAATTTCCTGAGAAAACCTTTGAAAGACCTTCAAAAAACCTGGAGAACAATTGCTCAAGACCACTTCGAAAAAATTACAAGAAAGTCTGGCGCCTTAGAAAAAAAATAAAGAAATGATGGATGGCTCAAGACTTTTGCCCAGTACTGATCACGCTCACCTTATTTAAGAAATTAGACAGAAAAATGGAAAGACCGAAAGCTACACAATGTGACAAGACTGAAACTTGGATAAAATGTAGCACTTCTTTTTCCAGCCACTAGAGGGGAGCCTAACACCATTTAAATTATTGCGCACGTGTTCTGCACCTGTATGCAAATAGAATGCAGAGCCTGTTGTACCTGCTACATTTGAACGCATACATTAAATTAGGTGGGTATGCATGCATACTGTGATTATGTATACCTTCTTATCATTTTCATCATCCCCGTCATCCTGCAGGCTGCTGGTGGACTGAATGGGGTCAGAGAAGGTGGGGCCCTGAGAGTAGTACTGGGAGCTCCGGAAACCATCTTTCCTCAACTTGTCACACTCTGAAGAACAAAGAAAGAGACAGAGAAACAGGTCTTGAACTTATTTGCTTTGGTGGCCTTTGATGAGAACTTTCTGATCCTGCTGAAAGGTGCAATTTTCACATAATGAAAGCGACATTTTATTTCGCACTATTTAAATACACTCAATACAAAGATTTGCTTCACTCATTTCCATGAATATACTACCAAATAATCCAAACAGATACTATTAAATATTCAAACTTTCATCCCATAACACAACGATAAGAAGAATGTGTGAAATATTTATGGGACATAAACATAGTGTTGTATTATCAAATGTGTACTGTAGAATATACCATTTGCTGTCTGTGTGTGTGTGTTTTCGCTAAGTTCCCTGCTGGACTCTGCCAAGCGTGCCTCACACCTCTTCTCGTCACCACCTGCCGTGATGAGGTTGTGATGTATGTACGTCAAAGTGAGATAAGACGGCAAGTGTGTGCGTGTGTGTTTGTGTGTGTGTGTAACCAGAGGAGGGGGGTATCAGCTTCAGTCTGTCACACACAGATGGCAGAAGCGTCCCTCTCTCTCGCTCTCTCATCCTCCCCCCTTTCCTCTCAGGGGGGAATCTAGCACATCATCTCCCTCTTCCTCTCCCTCTGCAAATATCTATTAATGCATCCTTTGTTTGGTCTTTAGGAGGCAATTAAATTCACATACTTCTTAAACATCCTCAGAAAAAAGCCTCAAGAGTTGTTCATGCTTTTACTGGTGAAGGATGAAATGATCAAACACACTATGAGGTTGCAACCTTATTTAAAATAAACACAAAATCCAACTTCTACGCTTCTCCCTAAAATTAACGGCACTTTAAAATAAGCGCGTTTCTTTTTTGACACCTCATCTTTCCCTGTGAAGTAATCCTGATTGATTCACATGTAAAAACCCTCCTATAAATGACAGTTTTTTTAAATCTTCCATCTTGGATATTTATTCAATGTGTTTCGCAGGATCAAACTCCCTTTTGGTGAATTAAACATGCGTGCGTGCTCACATCACTGTTAGCCCGCCACCTAAAACATGCTGCTCCTGATTCCTTTTACATCCTGTTTATTTCCACTGCTAATTACAGCCCATCTCCACACAGAGGCACACTGATGCATGTATAATGCTGTCAGTAAATGGATCCTGATGGGGCTCGCGTGTAACAACAAGTTGATGCGGTGAAACGGTGGAAGATGGGACTCAGAAAGCAATGATAATGAGGACGATGACGGGAAGTGGAACTGCTCAGATGATTGGTGTTGCATGATTGGGGACAGTAAATGAAATAAATAAGCTCGGATGAGCTAAGTGTGGCTTGTTGCTAGGCAGAACTGAAAGGGGTGGGGGCGGGATAAGTAAGTGATATGAAAAGAAAAGCAGAAACTAGATGCGTCTCTCGGATACTTTTAACAGTGAAGGAAATCTTCTATTAAAAATGTGTTTTTCATTAGGTCTTAGTGACCCTGACCTTTGACCTGCGGACTTTAATTTGTGCCAGGTAAAGGTGTTATATTATTTTCATGTGAATGGGCTAGATGCAGGTACAGATGTACAAAGAAAAAACCTAAAGACTGCATTCGTCCCACTGGTTTCACCACTAATGTGTCCCAATCTGAAGCTGATACAAATAAAAATAGAGGATAAAAAACACAAAGGTGCAACTGTCAGGGCTACATGTAAAGCTGTGACAGCTGCAGGGAACTGATGATGATGATTCTGGAGTAGGTACTGATGATGGTGCATGACTATGATACGACTGAGTTTTTTCAGTTTTTTTGGATGCAGGGGGAAAGTATTTAAACATAATTTTTCTTTCATTTCATCGTAAACACTGGCAAACAAAATGGATCGTGCAGTTATCACTCAATACCGTGTTATGTAACTTTAAAAATTTATTTCAGCCTGCTGGCACATTTTCAATAATCCACTAAACACACGCTGAAGCCCATGTGAGAGTTTCAGAAGGACAAAGAGGGGATGCACATTTCTATCCAACTGAATATCGATTATTAGGCTTTGCAAAGAATAAATCAGCCTCGTGGCACTGTGTAGTGTTGTGAGCGTAACGTTTACTTTTGTGATTTATTTGCTATTGAGTTTTACACTAGATCCCCTTCCTTACGAAATAATAATATATAATTCCTTATGAAACCCCAACAACTTTTATAAAGTGAATGCCATATACACTACACCAGGAGTGTCAAATATAAGGTCAGGGGGCCTGAATCGGCCTGGCAAAGGCTCCGTCTGGACCACTGGATGGCTTTGGAAAATAATGTAAATAAATGTTGGACTTTTAGCTGTTTTACAGCTTGTCCTCATGATGAAGACGTCCCCCATGACCACATGGACTGAAAGTTCCTATCGGCAAGTTTTTGTCACTATGGACTTTAGAAATGTTTCTGAATATGGGTTTACAGTAAAACATAAATAAATAATTTTTAATCTAACCCAGTAACATCTCATTGTTTTGCCCTATACTTGTATTTACCTACATATTGTTTTACTTCAAGGCTCATTTTCAATTAATTCATATCCAGGTTGAATAAAAAAAATAACAACAACTGTACAAGTTTCAGGTTAGAAACATGGCTGCACTAACATACGTTTCCTCTGTTGGCTGAGATGTACAGCGCGAAGATCAGCCCGTAAAGACTTATCAATATATATTTGCATTCACCTAATTAGACGTCTATAATCTATATCACAGACTGATTGATTATTGCCCTGTGAGATAATGGCACAAGCCTCATTAAATAAAAAAGATCACATATAAAGTACACTACTAAAAGAAAAAAGAAAAAAAAAGTCAAAGCTCACTGAAAGTTGGATGAGCTCCGCTCTCCAACAAGGATAAAATCTAAAACAGTAAACGTTCTCTGCTTGTAAAGCGCACTGAGGCTTAAACAGACACCACAGGTGCTCGCTCACTGGACACCTGTTGTCTTGTCGTTAGGACCCCCGGGGATACGTGGTGTTGTCAGGTTGATAGGTTGGTGACAGGATGAGAGGGAGGGGGGCTGAATTAATCCCACCTACCAGGTGGTGTTTTGAGAACAGCAACAGTTCAGGGGTTTGAAAATTGGAAAAGACAGAAGACAAAACAGGGTGTGTGCATTAGAACCGGTCATTAACCCACTAACAGTAAGCATCAGCTTTCAAACACTTTCCAGTTTATCTCTCTTTCTGCCTTTTATCTCTGTGTCTAATCAGCTGACACACAAGGCCGGCCCTGGTGAGCATGCAAACAAATGTAGTACAGTCATACACTCAGTCCTACACAGAAACTCGGAAATATGTGAATTTTTCCCAAACTGTTATCTGTGAAATGCTTGACGGGCAGCTTTCCCAGGAACAGGTGCTGGTATTCCCACTTCCTGTTCCTGGGAAAGTTGTGACCAGTTGAACAAGTTGTCACTCTGCTGTGAGTTTCTGTTTGTCAGCAAAGCCTGAGCCTCTTCCCCCACTGAGTGGGACCAACAGGTCTGCGATGTCAGATGAACACAACTCACAAGTCGGGACATCTTTTTTTGAGTTACAGGCAAATGTACACATTCTGGATCGTCCTCCTCAGTGTCACGAGCTTACTCCGATAACAGTGACGCCACCTACCAACAGTCCCATGAGTGAGATTCACCAGTTTGTAACTGGTTTGGCTCACATTCAGCATTTTCCCTTCGTTATTTGTGTAAATATATGCCATGTACATTTCTTCTTACTTAGATATTTTATTTACATATCTAACATTTTGGCAATTTTATCTATCATCCCATCTAAAACTAATTCCTTTATATGTCGCTCCGGTGCGTGGTGTATAACGTGCTCTATTTTGATTTGTCTTTACCTCGCAGGGCAGTTTTGAGGTTGACTTTGGCCTGGCGGTGGAGGTCTTCTACGCAGGGCGGCCTGCTTCCCGGTAGGAAGACGTTCTCCTGCTGGTGCCACGGAGCTGTGTAGTGAACTGTCCACTTGCTCTCCTCATCCAGGTTAGACACCGCTGCAGAGATAAACAAAGCAGATTAAGGATCGATATATTGTTCCCTCTGCATGATATAACAAAAAAACTCTCCATGAAATCTGACATAAAAATGACAGACAGCGAAAATAATAATGAACTAAGAACCGAAACATGTGTGGCCCTGCAAGTCTTCCAAAGAGCAGCATTGTTGGCCAACTTTAAAAAAAGTAAATAAAGAATAAAGTAATAAAGAAGTGGTGGAAAAATGTCCCCAAGTACTGACTATTCAAAGTGTTTCATTGTATTTGCAGATGAAAAGGAAGGGGAAGGAGGCTTAAGTGTGGCAGACTTAACAGCCTTCAATCAACATGACACTTATCTGTGACATCACACACATACAGTAGGCCTCACAAGTCAAGAGGGGGAGGGAGAAGCTTACTGGGACAAGTTGGAGGGAATCGCTGATCAGTCGATACCAACTCAAAAAACGCGCAACTACTGGAAACTGATTCCATTAAACCGCTTACCTAACTGCAAAAATCCTTCCTCGAAAAAAATAAAATATGACAAAGACACCGATACCAAACAGGCCACATTGCTGGGCACTTTGGAAGCTTACTATTAACAAAGAGGCTTTGAGGTTACACAAAATACACCACTGTTTGGATTGAAAACACATTAATTAACAAGGTCGGGGAGAGGCACTTTTCATTATCCAAAACCCTTCTCTCAGTCATATCTGCTGATAAAGCGTTCACATCTTTTCTGTCCCACTAGTCCAGTCCCAGAAATGCTGTCTAAATGTAAAAAACACACACTCTTCCTAATTCTTAAGCTTACCAAGTGAGCGTATCCAAGCCAAAGTGGGTGATCGCGGATGTAAAACTATCTCCATCGACGGAGACAAAATGTAAGCAAAGACCTCTGAGTTTGTCCCTTTCTTTGCAAACACAACATGTCCAGCTGCCTGAGAGAATGGCTAAGTTTGTGAGAACCAGGAGGAAGGGGACGGATCATGGCAACGCCTGGGAGTGTTTTGCTTTAGGGTTTCTTTCACAGGTGCAAATGAGCTGAAGTGTGTTGGGGGGCAGACAGCCCTAAGGCCAACATCTGCAAATGGGCCATTAATGACAGTGTGACACGCTGCAACTGCTTTTATATATACATAACTGCTAATACATGCCAATAATGACCACGTCAAAAGCACTGTTCTGTTAATCACCTAAAAAGTACAGAGTGGGTTTAAGTGGATTATTTCCACTGTTGAAAAAAGCCAAGTGCATACAACTTAAGCCTGCTTTGTTGACCGTTGTGCAGGTTGTGACCAATTCCACCTTAATATCTCTACTGAATGCTTCTGATGCTCTGGTTCATACAAAGGCTGTCATTTTAACTCAAGTGCAAAAGACCCAACTAACAAACCTCTAAATCATGTTTTTTGCTTTTATTTAAGCAGGAAGTTCCACTTTGATTTTATTTTGAAAGTTACGATCAGGTTTAGGCTGAATTGACACTTGATATCAATGCCAGATGAAGTTCTTCTCAGCTGTTTTTCATCCACCATGCTGTCATCTGTTTACAAAATAAGTTGCACCTCCCATGACGGTCATCCTTTTGCCTTTGCTGAGTAGGCTTCATGTGGGGTGGGAAAGTTTTAATGACGTAATCTTTGCAATTCATCTGAAAAGCAAGATTGTCAGATTACCCGCCCGTGCATAAAAGTGTGTTATCTCAGTCAGATTGATCAATTTTAATGGAAGTTAATGAGAGGGGGGAAAAAAAGATGTGGTGTATACATGTGATGGTAATCACTGCATATGGAGTTATGGAGCATGGCTGAATACCTATCTGTAGTCATGCTGTTTTGCAGCGTGCTTGCACTGGTCAGACAGTCCCATGCTGCTCCAAGGCCCAGATGCACAAAAACACGCAGATACCACATGCAGATACTTACACACCAGGGAGTGGCAGTGCAGATTGAAAAGTCAAGGTCACACCAAAGTTCAAAGTTATAACATGCCTTCGAGCAAGTCACTGACGCCCCAGGCTGCACGTGAACGGGAGCTGTTCTCACATCAGCTTGCTTTATCAAGGGCTTTTTCTTTTTTAAATACAATTTGAAATTTCCTTGATCTCTCTCACACACTAAGCACAGGTAGCCCCTCCCCCAACCCTCCTTTTAGACCATGGGGTTTGAATAGACCTCAGTGAGGCTATAGGCAAACCAAGGCGATGGGGACTAAGGGCACAAAGCATTTATTGTCCCTCTGCATCAGTCTCCACATCAGGCCTTTCAATACCACAATGACCCCAAGCTCCTCAACACACACACTCACACACGCACACACACACACAGTCTCACACATAGTGGACTCTGGCGCGAAAGTCTTTCAGAAGTCCCCTAATCCCTCTGTCCATCGACATCCCAGCCCTGCCTGTGCTCTTTAACAAACACAGAAAGCAAAACGATGCAAATACTAAAAATGCAAAGGCTGCATAAAGCAATCCTTTTGAGATACATTAGCAGCCGCGAGCACGCACACACATGCACGTTGTGGAATTAACTGTGTGATCAATAACAGCAATAAAATTCCATTGGAGAGATCTATGTTAATCCTAAACTAAGTCCTCGATCACCTCCAAACACATGGATCGACTTTCAAACATGACTTTTAATTTGTAAAAACTTTTATTTTTAATTTGTCAGAAAAAAGGAAACAGAGATGACTCTAAAAACGCTAATATCTAAAATAATAAATGATAAAATTAAAATTAAAAAAGGCAACTAGCATCTTTTGTTTGTGTGTCTACAGGAAACAAGTTTTTGTGGACAACATTTAATGCAAAGTTTACACTAATAACTGCAACCATCTGAGGAGGTCTACACTGATCTGCATATAAAAGCCTTGGGATTGTCATGGTGCGCAGTTAAGGTGCAAAGTGCAGGCATGTGCAAGACAGTAGCACAGGACTTGTTGACTACAGAAATGCTGAGCTAATGATTAAGCGCATCACTCCAGCTTTAACTCAGCACACACACACACACAGGCTATAAATAAACCACAAATCGCAATCTTCACAAGCAGCTTGCTCTGCATCAATCATGTCTTTCTTACAGCCTCATCTGCTTAATACCAAACCATTGATAAAATAATAGCTAATCGCCTTAAACAAAATCTAGTGTACACAAGTGGCACTTTAAAAAGTACTTCTCGTGAGTTTGCTGTGGGTTTAACTTCCTGCAAGTGTCACTAGGGTTGCAGCAGGTTTTTCAAAGTACAATAATAAGAAACTACAACAGTTTCCAGGTAATACACAATTACTGCTAGTTCCACTGACCCTAAGTATCAACAAAACCTCATGTGATATTAGTCTGACAGACAATCGAGGTGGGGAAAAAAATGGCAATGCACACGTGCAGGGGAGATTCTACCATCATCCACTAACGGCAACTCTCACTGTCACCTTTAAACAAGCTGTTGGGTCATTTGGTGCTACAGCTGTGAAGTCCTGGCCCAGCGGTTACCTGGTAACGGGGTGCAACAGAGGGTTTTGTTTGTGCTTAGCTGAGGCAGCAGGGAAGCAGTTTGACCACAGGATACCATTAGTTCCGATCAAATCAGAAAGATCATTACGGCAGGCGTTTGTACACTTTTGACACAGAGAATCCTTAATGAAGCTGTTAAATCTAAATCCGCTTCAATAAATGGAACGCCGTGGGAATTTCAGACACAAATGCATATCCTGTCAAAATGATTAAAACAGTCAAAATCTCTAACCAACCACATGCAGTATTGATAGGGAGATTATTCAAATGCACATTAATGATCAGTATGGAACAAAAAATGTCTTACCCTTCCTTTTGAAGTACTTAATTATAGATTTTAACGAGGTCCCGATAAACACCATTTTTCCAGATCAGCGTATATGTCTCCCTCTTAGAAAAATAATAATAATAAGTGCCTTTGTTGAGGCTTAAAAACAACTAAAAAAAATCCAAGGAATAACAGAGAAGACGGGATGAAGGCGTGCTGGTGCTCTTCCGCTCACATTCTCACGGCTTGGCTGCGAGTGTACGTGAGCGTCTACTACGCTGACAATAAGTCTCTACCCCTATCTGTCTCTCTGAACACACACACACACACAAATCGTCCGCCACTCCCCCCCTCAGGCAGTTCAGTCCTCGGAGACAAACACACGCACACACACAGCAGGAGGGGTGTAGGACCGGCCCCTCTGTTCCTCTGTGCTTTGGTTACCAAGGAGTTCTGGCTGCCTTTCCCTTTATTTTTCATCATCAGTCATTCTCCCGCTTATTATTGCTCTACACTTTCATTCTACTTTGCTCAAAATATAGAAGTTTTTATTAGCGTGTACAGTCACTGTGTTGCTTTTTCGCTTTGTGCATCAATACTCATATCGTTCTTCGCGCAGCTCTTTTTTCACACTTTCCACGGGTGCGCAGCCTCTCAGTGAGGGACTCATCTGCAGAAGAATATTTATGCATGTAATTAAACTTCGAGTTACCCCACAGAACAACCTTGCACATTGTCAGGAGGGGAAAAAACATGTTGAGCTTTTCAGGAGGTACTCTCAGGTGGATGGTGCTTCAAGCAAAGTGCAATGCAAACAGAAAATATAATTGCCTACGGTAAATTACACTCATGCACTGACATTTAGCTCATCTGGTCTCATTTTTGCATCTCTTTGTAAAACAATAATCCAAAAATGTGATCATCTACTAATAAGTCAATTTTGCCTTTCTTTAAATCAACATTTCCTCCTCTGATCATTCCCAACCTGCTGTGTATGGCAGTGAATTAGTGCTACATGAATACAGACTTCATACAATCCTCCCATTGTCCAATCTGCTCACAATCTATCATGCACACACTCCAGCACCCAGCCATTCAAACACACACCCATGCACACACCCATAAGGGAAGGACAGCCCCGCCTTTTGCGACCGTATTTAATTTCAGCCCAAATGGCTGAAGAGCAGAGGGAGGGAGGGTGTGTGTAGGGGGCTCCGACAAGAG